GTTTCACTTCCCCATGAACTGCTCTACACTTTGTTCTCCTTGGGATTTCAGGAATGTTCGATCATCGAAGACAGACCATGTTTTTGCACTACGCTGTAACAAAGTTTTTGGCTATTGTAATCTTGATCTATGCTCGAGCGAAAGCGCCGTCCGTGTATTAAGGATAATAATGGCTGACAGTGAGACTTATAATGCTCTGCATGCTCTAATGCTCCCATGCAGGGTCAAGCGTGCGTTGAGGAATCCTCGACACGTCACAGGGGGGGTCGTATTGGCCCGCTGGGAGGAAGAGATCGGGCCGGATTGATGCAGTGGGATTAGGATCATCACCGTCGGAGAACAAATATCATACCCAATGATATAATTTATTAAATTACTGATATTCCCACGTTTTCCAAGGATAGAGTCGATGCCAGGCCAGAGGATTTCCAATAACAATGTTATTCCGCCCACACAAAATCTTCGTGATTCAGAGGTGTCCGCTTAGCAATTCTTAGTTACTTCAGTGTTTTATCACCAAGTTAAAGAATCCGAAATTCGCACGTTTTCCAAGGGATATTTTATCTTTCAAGTGAGTCCTCGAATCTGAAGGGATGTGAAGCACACGGCGCATCCCAGAGTGGGCCCAGTTGGTTGCGCGCGCTTCAACTACGGCTCTCTGGAGAAAGAATCTCAATTCAGGAAAAATCAAGAGGATTCTGAAAGGGTTCATGTGAAATTACAGGGAGGAGTACACTATTCAACAAGAAATGCAGCCTTCAGCGTCAAATTCACAAGCATGTAACCTTTAAAGTTGAGACCCGCTAAACAATTTTACACTTTTTGCAAGAGAAAAGCACGAGGATTTCCGAATCTGCTCCTACTTCAGTATATAATCGCCTCACGATCAACAGTCCCTAGGCTAGTTGAAAATACAGTGCGTACCAAAAGTATGTGGACACCCTAGAATCGATTCTCAGGAGGTCAGCTAAAGGCTTTTGTGTTATGAAACCTTCACCATTCAACTCCTAGTGGTCGATAACCTACAATGACATTCTCGGCAAAAGATTTCGTTCTAACTTAGCGAACTATTTTTCATGGAAAGTTTTTTCTTTGTATCAAAATTATGTGGACACCCTGAGGCAGATGAAGTTTTTGCATCGATTTCCTAACCTATTTTTACTTCTCCTTTCGTTACTTAAAGGCAAATTCCGGGATTTCTGGCGAAATTAGGTTTTCCCCGTCAAATATGGAGCAGTACGCAAGGGCAGACCATGTGCAGAAGTGGCGGGGCGTTTTGATAAGGTTTAGGCGCTAGGGGCCTAGGTTGGAGCATTGGCGCCGCCCCAAGCCCATTGAGCCCGCCCACCGTCCTACGTGATCTTCCAAACAACCACCTGGAACGCTAGATGTTAAGCCGTTGTTTGGAAAGTCGTAGGGGAGTATTTAGCGGATTTCAATTGCGAAAATCGACATCAAAGCCTATCTTACGACCATTTTGGAGAACGTTGTCATCATTCTAGTGAGAAGAAAAAATTTTAAGATAGGAAGCAAACAAAAAAAAAGCACAGGAAAATAGAAAAAATAGGGAAACTAGGAAAAATCAGTTTTCATTGCTGACTTTTTGTGGTCGTGTCGGTTGATGGCACAAAGCCAACAGTTGCTGTAGACATGTCCAAACACGTAATTTTCCCAGCCCTGGTTCGTAAGCGACTAACGAAGAGGAATTTCTAATTTTGGAGTTCTTTGGAGGTATTTCCTGCTTTTTCATTACCTTCGATCAACTTAGCACCCAGCTCTTCATACTCGAACAGGTGAGTCCCTCGTTTTATCCCGGAGTTTGCCTTTTAATCTGGCATCATTCCTCTTCACGGCAAGCGTTTTTCTGAAGAAGACCGAGCACAGAAATGGGATCCCCATGCTTCTGAACCTTCCTATTGCGAAATAGCACGTCAACCAGTCATGCGTCCTCGTAGGTTTGGAGAGAAATTCTAAATCCTATTAATAATCAAAATCCTAATAATCCTATAATCTAAGCTCTCGACCTTGACTGGAATGTTGTTCTCAATCGCTACTTGTTCAAAACAGCAGAAGAATAGCCTTAATTTTCCTCAAATTTTTCTTTTCGTACTACTCAACTTTACGCATAAATGAGCTTCCCGATCTTAAAAAAGACCAATCGGTGTCCTCATTCAATCAATTGAGCACACGACGGAGGATGAAGAAGCTTTCGTATATAATGTATATGAATGCGGGTTCAGGTTGGCAAGGTTGGAATTCCCACTCAAAAAAGGATCACAACATGATACTTTGAACCCACACAGACAGTGCTTTCGTGGAAATGGTAAAATTAGTATAAAAGACTTTCTGTGGAAATTTCTTTCATAGACCAACTCGACTGGCAGAAAGAAGCTTATTCCTACTATTCGGGTGGGTCTTGAGGTTTTTGGAGAGACTTTGGTCGGACCCGCAGATGTGCTCGAAGAGACAATTCGGAAGATGTTCATCAAAGGTCTGGGGTGGTTCCAAAAGGAGGGGGACATTGAAGTTTGGCTTGCCAACATGTCAGGTAGACGACTAGGATTATAATGAGGGTGCTTGAGTCCCGGCTACAAGCTTTTTCGAAAACTC